CTGGTCTGCAGGCCTGTGGCAAAGGCAAGCCGCTGTCCTCACCCGAGGGCTCTGCACCCCCGCTGTCCCCCTCGGTCTCCGCGGCGCGGCTGGCGGCCTCCAGCTTCCTTCTCTTCTTCAGGTGGTGCAGGTGGGACTTGGACCGTGTGTGAGCTGAGGAAGAGGCAAACTGAATGTTAAATGCTGGGGAGCATGGAGAAAAACAACCTGATCCCTCCATGCAGAGCAACAGTTCATTCCCACAGCAACGTCACCCCCCAAGCCCTGCCCTGGCCACTTCTCAGGACACTTCTGCACCAAACTATCGGGGCTCAGAGGGGGACAATGCTTCTCCTGGCTACAGAAAGGGCTGGGAGAGGGGAAAACCTGGCTCTGTGTGCACACAAGACTCCAGATTGTCAGGATTCAACCCTCCCAGCCCTGACACGATGCTGAGAGGATGGGGGAAAGGGAAGCGTTACCAAAGAGGCAGCACATTGCAGGGTGCAGGGGAGGTTGCACAGCTCTCCAGGATGGTTTGTGAGCCTGGACGCCTGCCCCGCAGCACTGGGGATATCCTGTGCAGCCACAGAGCAGATAGGGATGGAGCCTGGGGCATGATGGTGTTTGTGCATAACTGCAGGGCAATGCCCCCAGCTATGGGAGCACGTCAGCAGGAGTTGGATGGGAACAGAGGTGTAGTCACAGGGATGCAACTTGTACTGTCACAGCAGCGCAGCAGGAGCTGCATTTCTGTTGAAATCACATCATTAAGGACAGTAAAACCTCCTGTATCAGTGGTATTATCTAAATAGAAGGCACTCTGTCTAACCAGACCAATACCTCGCCTTAGCAGGGCGGTTCTGCTATTTCCAAGAGATCAGAGCAGCAATTAAAGCAGCAAACTTTTCAAGCAGGGCCTTAATTAAACCAGGGTATGCGCTCACTGAATCGAGGCCCTCAGGTGTTTTCCAGCCATCCCTTCCTGCCAAGGGATGAAATGACATGCAAAGCCGCTGCTTTATCACCAGGCTGTAGGGTCACCCTCAGCTTGAAATCGAGTCTCACCTCTCACAATTTGTCACAAGCGAGACCAAAGCGTGCAGTGGCTGAAGAAGCACTGATTGCTGCTGCTGGCTGGGGAGGTGTGCTCTTTAAGTTCATAGAAATCGTAAAATCAGGTACAATTTTAAAACCCTCCAGAACCAGTGGGGTCCTGGGAAGCACTACCCTGCACTGTCTGTAACCTGACTTAAGAACCCAGACCAGACTGCAGATCAACTCAGCTCCCACTGCTGTTTTCACTTCTCTTTCGGCATTTAAACGTTGCAACTACAAGTAGCACCCAGGTTTTGGACCATTTCTCTCCCTCCATCTGGGGATGTGAGCCAAATTCAGCTGGATGCAGAGAAAACCAGCTGCTCTTGGTTGAGAAAGGCATTGTCATCATCCGAATTTGTCAGAATTTGGGATGGAGGACACGTGGCTGCAGCTGCAGTGTTTGGGGGATCTTGAGGAGCTCCCACTCGGTCACAAACCTTGCAGGACGTGGGAGGATGGCACAGAACCCGATAGCTTTCGGGGTGCTCTGGTTCTGGAGCAGGCAGAGCTCCTTCAAAGCACCTCCAAGCTCAGACAGCTGAGACTGCCTAAAAGAACAATGACACTGACAAACCGACCTCCCTACAGTGAGCTTCCTATTCTGAGCCCATTTCCACCTCTGCTTTCAGCAGTTCCCTGGCTCCACAGGAATACACGACTCCTTCAAATCCAACAACCTGGGAAGTTTATCTTCACACTGCGTCTGCAAATACTGCATTTGGGCAACACTGGGGATTTACCCGTTCCAGTTCTGCAGCCAGTTTCTCCGCTACTTTTTGTTTCTGGTTCTCAGCGTGAGCCTTCCAGCACAGATAAATTCACTGAGTTAATCTGATTCCAACCGAGCTCTTTTAAAGTAAGTCTATTGAAAATAGAAAATCCCTTTCTATTACCATTACAGCTAGGAATACTAAAAAAAAAAACAACCCACAAATAGGAGATACTGGAGCAAAATTGAGCTATAGCTATGAAAAATATTAAGAAACTTTCGTTTTACACTTCAAAATTTGAGAGGAAACCCATTTGTTCAGTGCTTTTTGACTCAGAATGTGAAGTGCTGCAAAGGAGCAGCAGCGCTGACTGAACACAGTGCTGAGGTTGGATGCCACGTCCAGACCCCCACGTCTGCGTGACGGCAGAGCGCCGCAGTGTTTACCACGGAGGGGGGAAGCCCGACAGATGGCTGCTGTGGCACAGCTCCTGCACCCCCTCTGGGCTTGCAAATGGCTGCTTTCACAGCCGGGCTGTAAACAACCCCTGAAAGCCCAGGATCATGTGCTGAGGGTCACCCGGCCACGCCGAGACAGCCAAGGAAGCTGCTCTGCTCCAGAGAGCTGCCTGGCTCCATCCCTTCGTGTAACTGCACTCGCTGTGCCCCCTCCCAGGCCCCCTCCTGTCCCCGGTGCCGGACCCCACCTGCCCACTCCCTGTCCCCGATGATGACTCGGTCGCAGAGCTCGCACACGCGATGGCTCCGTTTGTTCTCGTTGATGTCGTACTCCATCCTCACAGGCTCCGCTGGGGGCTCACGTCCCTGGGGATTAAATCACAGAATCACAGAATCGCTCGGTTGGAAAAGCCCTCTGAGATCATCACATCCAACCGCTCCTGTCTACCCCCTAAACCATATCCTTAAGTACCTCGTCTACCCGCTCCTTAAACACATCCAGGGATGGTGACTCCACCACCTCCCTGGGCAGCCTGTTCCAGCTTCTGATGACCCTCTCAGTAAAGAACTTCCTCCTTATCTCTGACCTGAACCTCCCTTGGCACAGCTTGGTGCCGTTTCCCCTTGTTCTATCCCCATCACCTGGGAGAAGAGCCCAGCACCCACCTCTCCACAAGCTCCCTTGAGGCAGTTGGAGGTGGTGATGAGGTCTCCCCTCAGCCTTCTCTTCTCCAGGCTAAACAAGCCCAGTTCCCTCAGCCGCTCCTCATCAGGCTTGTTCTCCAGAGCCCTCCCCATCCTTGTGGCTCTTCTCTGAACACACTCCAGAATCTCAACATCCTTCTTAGAGTGAGGGGCCCAGAACTGAACACAGTACTCTAAATAATGCCTCAGATTGGTTTCTGCTATGAAACTTTGCTTGGCTGTGCTCACTTTGGTAGAGTTTGGGCTCTGAACTTGCCATGCCCAGACACTAAGGCTTGCAGGATGGACACTGCAGTTTTACCATGAAGACAAGTACTGGGCACTGGGAGAAATTTCCAGCTTAGACAACAACCCTCTGCTGCTGCGAGGAAAGCCCAAGGCTGGATGTGTACACAGACCACCCTGCTCAGGGGAGAGACCGAGTGCCAAGATATGGGGCCATGGCTCACGTGTTAACTGCAGGTACCTGGATGAAGCTCTCCACGATCTCCAGGGCAGGTTTCAGCACATCCTCCTCCCACCGCAAGAGATCGGACACCTCCAAGCCATACACGGGGGGCACGTTGGGCCCAGGACCTACGGGGACACAGAAGGGCAGGTCAGCACCAGAACCCCTCCACATCACATCCCAGCACCCATGGGGCTACACTGTGACCAGGATCTGCTCTTTCCTGTCCAGCTGTCCTTTAACAAACAGCACCAGCCTTTCCAGAGCCAAAACTACCAGAGACTTGCAAAGAGTAAGAACACCCAAGACCTCAGGAAAGCATCTCCATGGTTGTCTGCCTTCGGGACAGCATTACAAAATCCAAGCACGTCAACAGCCCATCACAACAGCAAACTCTTCTTCACGGCCCTGGTCCACAGGAGGCCGCAGAAGATCAAAAGCCAGACCCAGGCACAAAGCCATCACACAAAGCTTACAAGGAGATGCAGGAGTGGAGTCTGGATGGGGATCTGCGGGTGCAGGTTCGCACTCGGAGCCGTAATTGCTCAAGTGGCTGCAGGGGCCAACGCTGCCGGCTCACAGCAGCTGCCCACGGCAGGAGATGCTTTGATAATGCCCAGACCTGACAAGCACAGGTTCAAAGCTGCCCCTTCAGCCTCCCCCAGCCCGGCAGCAGGACACGGGGTGCTCGCTGCAGCCCGGCCGTTCAGGAGAGCTGCAATCAGAGGGCGCCCACTCCCTCCGGCAACATCGCAGGCTCCGGGCACACGGCCCCACTCGGACAAAGCCATCAAAGGCTGCGACGTGCCAGTCCCCGGCAGGTGCTGCTTTTATTGCTGCAACCACAAACAAGCTCCCGCCGGGGCCGATCTGAAGCACACCTGCCACCAGAAAGGTGACCACAGCCAGCAGGCACACGGCTCCAGGAACACTCCTGCACGCCGTTCAAAGCCCATCTTTTGACTCGAGTTTCTCGCTGCCTTTTCTTTTCAAATCGTAGTTGTTTTGCCCCTACCGAGCACCTTTCAACAAGTGCCCGGCTCCCAGCTGCTGCCGCTGGCCCTGCTCCAGGGCTGGGGCTGGGACGGGGAAGTCCTGCTGGCTCCCTGCCACCGCGGTGAGCGCAGCCCCGGCCAAGAGCAGCCAATGGGCTCCTGCTCCTAATCTGCAGGGCAGCTGTCAACGGGGCTTTCCACCCTGTGCAAGGAGCAGGTGTGGGTGCCTGGGGACAGGGACAGTGTTGGGGACACCCTCCCCAAGTCCCTCGGGAGCTGTCGGCAGGATATGCTGCAGGGATGCTGCAGCCATCGACACCTACTGCTGTCTGGCATGGAGCTGAGCCCTTGCTCGTGTTGTTCTGTTGGGTATCGGCATCCTGATGGTACTTTTGCAGGGAGGGGAAGATCTCCCTTTGACAGGCAGCCACGGGTACAGGGGTACAAGGAGATGGCTCCTCTCTTGAGCTGGAAGCAGGGGATGTGCCAAGGAGGGATGAGAAGAGATGCGAGAGCAGGGATGGTGATGCAGGGCAGGAGCAGAGGACTTCACAGAATCACAGAATATGAGGAGTTGGAAGGGACCTGGAAAGCTCCCCCAGTGCAACCCCTGCCAGAGCAGGAGCACCAGAGCAGTCACACAGGAACACGGCCAGGGCTTTGGGTGTCTGCAGAGAAGGAGACTCCACAACCTCTCTGGGCAGCCTGGGCCATGCTCTGCCACCCTCACAGTAAAGTTTTTCCTCATGTACTTACGTCTCAGGAAGCGGTTTCGGACCCACTTGTTCTGCCTCCGGGCGTATTTCTTGGTCACCTGCTTCAGGGCCTGGATCCCTTTGAAACAGAGGGAGTGAAAAATAAAAATGAAGGGCAGCACAGTATCGCAAGCTGAGCTCAGAGCAGTGGCTCACTGAGGTATTTGTTTCTACCCTCAGTCTGGAGGTGTCTGAGCCAGCAGTGAGAAGGGGTGACCACAGCAAGGCAGGCAAGCCTGGCCAGACAGTGTGTAGGGGCAGCACAGGAGGTGTCCCAAATGTCCTTGAACGATCACTGGGTGGAAAGGGCCCAAAACCTCAGCCCTGAAGCTTTCAGGAGGTAGGACAATCTGTGCAGGGGCTGCACTGCTCTCATAACACCTAAGTGATCACTTCTCTGTGCAGAGCCCAGGGGACTCCTTGTCCTACCCGGCGAGCCCAGAGGATGGTTTACACTGTACAACCTTTCAATATTTAGTACCAGACTTATCATATCCCTCCTGTGCAGACACAACAAGGCCCTGCTGCACCAGACTTGTTTTCAAGCTTTTAATAATTTCTGTTGTCTCCTCAGCCTCTGTCTCCACTTCGCGCTGAACCAACTCTGTCTGGGACCTCTGAGGAGCAGAGCAGCTCCCTCCTCTAACAAGAGCGCATCAGTGCAGACCCCAGAATGACACCTGACATCGAAAAGCTCATCACTACTGACTCATGCTGTGATCTGTAGATCCTCAGATCCCTTCCCACTTGAACCAAATGCTGAGTTCTGCTTCAATCCTTGTTTCTTGCCCTGTTCTCCACCGCATTCGCACCTCAGCTGTGGGATCCCATCGCCCTGGTCACTGGTGGAGGGAGGAATCACTCTGGGTGTGCTCAGAGATGCTCTCCAAGCACTCAAAAAGGAGTCCCTGCCCCCTGGGCTGGCAAAATACAGAGGAAAAGGTGCAGCTCAACCCCAACAAGTTGCTTGACTTTGGTTGAGACCATCACACAGTGTCACCTGGAGCTGCCTGAGGCTGACATAGAGCATGCAGGGTGCTCCCCTCACCTTTTTGCAGCAGCAGAGCACTGGTCTCAGGCGAGCAGCTCCCCTCACTGATGAGGTACTCATGGAACTCCTTGAAGCCAATGGACTGGAAGATGCCGTGCTGGTAATCCTGGCTGCAGAGGCAAGAGACAGGGGTCAGAGCAGTCTCCTTCAGAAGAGTGGCAGACCCCAACCCTCCCCATAACAGCTCAGGTCTCTGCGTCTCACCCTGCAGGGACCTTGCCAGTGACACAGGCCCATGGCTGCAGGGGACACACGGGCACACACAGGAACATAGACCGGTGCCTTCAGTGCCACCCCACGTCAGCTTTGCTGTGTGAACGCTCGGACAGCACCAGGTAATTTTTACTGAGGGGAAACATCACTGCTTGGCAGCTAAGGTCCAGGCAAAATTAACTCAACACTAAGACCTGCAGAGACTCTGCTGTTCGACCAACCCTGGCCTAAGGGTCCTGGCAGGGAAGTGCTGGAGGATCAGCCTGGTGCAGACCCCTCTATTGATGGTGCCCCTGCACTGGTCCTGTCTGCTGGCCCTGCCACAGGAGCCAGCACTGCCAAGAGGGCTGGGAGCAGTGACACATGGGAGCTGCTGCAGGGAAACTCAGTCCAGGCCCTGCATGGGCCTGGGAGCAGGAAGGGAGCTGGCATCTCACCCACCGGTTCTCAGCCACCTTCTCTTGGTTGTAGCGCCGGTGGAAGTCCCGCAGCTCCTCCAGCAGCCCCGCCCCCCCCCCCCCTCCCCCAGCCGCTGGTCCAGAGCTGGGAGGAGCAGAGCAGGACACACTCAACCACTCGGGAGGCCCACATCAGGACAAGGTGCTGGGACTCAGTTTGGCACTGCCAGCCTCCCGATCCACCCGAGGACAGCAGAGCCCAGCAGGCAAGAGGGGTGAGTCCTCTGTCACACCCACTGATGCCAAATGAATTGCTGGTTTGTTCAGGGAGGAGGCTGGGGCAGGAGCAGGGAGTCAGCCCTAACCCCACATCACTGTGCAAACCCCCTCTCACCTGCCTGGTCTGCGTGGAGCCACAGGATGCAGGAATGTGGGTATTTCAGAGGCCCCCCTAAGGGTCCCCCACCTTCCTCCTCCTGCTGCTGGTGCAAGATTTCACTGTGGGGGATCCCAGTCTCTTCAAACACTTGGAGGCTCCTGCAAGCAGAGGCAGACGGAGCTCAGAGGCTGGGTGAGGATGAGCCTTCCCATTTCTCCAGCAGCCCTGGGGGCTCCAGCAAAGGGAACCGCAGACTCTCGCTGCGATCCAACCCTCTCATGTGAGGAGAGGGCAGGTTTCTGCCCCCTTCCGTGCATCCTGAGCACACCCAGGTCCTGGGGGCGCAGTGCAGTGCAGAGCACAGCAATGGCACCCAAGGAACCCAGAGCACAGCCACCCACTCCCGCCTGGCACCGGGACAAGCCCTGCAGGGGACGGGGTTCTGGCTCCAGCCCTGCCCTTTCCAGCCAGGCAGGGCTGCAGGGAAGGGACCAACGTTGCTGATGCTGTGAAGCATTACTGCCAGCTCAGGGAGGAGGAGGAAGCTGCACGGGGTGCCCAACCCTCCGTTCTCCTGCACCGTGCGAATGAGGTGGGCGGCGTTCGGCTCCCCCCAGGCCAGGGCTCGGCTGGGATGGGCCCGTCAAAGCAGCAAGCCTGGTCTTGCTGCCGTGCTGTTCCCACAGAGCTCAGGTATGTTACTCAGCCAGCACGGCAGCTCGCTCTTTAAATAGCTCCAGATAAACCCTGCTGCTGGGGCACCGTGCTGGGAGCAGCCCTGGCACACACAGATCAGGAGCAATGGACCCAAAGGCACTTCAAGTTGGGGGCTGCGTGGCCAAAGGTCTCACATCCCAGAAAGCTCCCCAACACCAGCGCTCCAAGGTCCCCAGGCACCGTGCTGAGGCCAGGAGCACCCAGCTGGGATGGGAGAACCCATCCTGATGCCTTCCCGGGCACACGATTCCCTCAGGAAGGGGTGCTGGGCCCTGGCACCCCCTGTCCCCAGCACGCCAGGCTCACCTGGCCACTTTGCGCTTGTCGTGGGGGTGCAGCTTTGCTGCCATCTCCGGGTCCACCTGGCTCAGACGGCGATGGAGCTCGACACCGTCCAGCTGCTCCAGCTCCTCTTTCCTGTCCGGGACCGGTCCGGGGGCCGTGCTGGCCTTCTCCTGTGGGGACAAGGTAGCCCTGAGTCACACCACTCACCCCTGTGCAAGGCCAGCACAAGCAAAATGATCCCCCAGACCCAAGGGATGAATGAGGGGCTTTTGGTCCTCCTTGCCCCACTTGAGCAGGAGGAGCACCATGCCCAGCCATGGGAAGCCTGCCCTGAATGTGGGGCTCACCCCGAAGGGCACACAGCTCTCCAATGGTACCTTGGTGTTGATGAGGACCTTCCAGAGCAGGGACTCGATGTAGTAGTTGGTTCCTCCCACAACGATCGGGATCTTGTCCCGAGCAAAGATATCTTCAATGTGCCACAGTCAGGGAGCATAAGTAGAGATGCACGGCAGGGAGGAAGGGTTGTGGGGAGCAGCAGTGCAAGGCCTAGACCCCCAAATCTCCCACAGAGCCAGTGAGGCTGCAGGATGGGGTTATTGGGTGTCCCTCACCTCTCACTACCCTCTGCTATCTGTGCCAGCTACCACAAAACTCAGGGACACCCAGGGAGGGCAATACCCGGCTCAGCACTGTTGTGGTACAACAGAAATCTTCCCCAGCCACCCCTGAGGAGGGGCTGCCCCAAGCATTAGCTGGGTAAAAGAAGCTCCAAGCCTCCTCACCAGCATCATCCTCCAAAAACCGGAGGCAGCTGCAGTGCAATGAGTCCAAGGGTGCCACAGACGTGCAGGCCTGGCTGTGGAGGGGAGGCTGCAGCCTGAAAGGATATGAGAGCCACGGCTTTGTCTCTGAAATCCACCACGGTGTAGTTGGAGACGAGGGGATCCACGAAGCTGATCATGTGGTGCCTGCACAGCCGCTGCTCCTGGGCAGAAACCTTGTTCGTGATGATGTCCAGGCCCTTGTACACCTGGGGAAGAGCAGAGCCCATCATTCACCTCCGTGTCCCACGAAATCCCCACCAACCACCGCTCCTTCCCCCCACAGCCGCTGCCTGTCCCTGCCACCCCCCTGAGCCCCTCGGGGGTCTCTGCAGAAGCCAGCAGCACAGGCAGGGCACGAGTCCTGATCAGGAACCTGGCCAGTGCCTGCTCCTGCCAGGGCCAAGCTGCTGCTCCCTGGTGCTTGTTCCTGCCACGGGAGATGAGCCGTGAGCTCGACCGCTCACCACCGCTTTCCTGGTCTGACACAGCCCTGCAGCTGGGGACGGAAAGGCCAATGGAGCGATCAGAGAGCGGTGTCAGGGCTCGGTCAGCGTAACCGGCCAAGCCTGGCTCCGAAGCACAGAGCTCTGAAATGATAAGGGTGGCTGCCTCCAGGCTGCAGGCTCCTCAACTGCTGCCGCTGCAGCTAAAAGCTAAGGGGTGCATCTCTCCAAACACCCATGTCCAGCACAGCACCAAGTCTTGTTTGGGGGTCACTGCTTCCTTCACAAAGATCTCTCCGGATGCAACACAGAACTTGATGGAGCCTCCCAGACACACACAAATGATCTCAGGTCATGCACACCATAAAAACCTGGCGTGGCGCCTGCTTCCTGCTCTCACCGAGCCAAGCAGGTACAGAGAGGAGCAAAACGCACCGGTGTCAACCAGCGAACCCAGGAGAAATGAGGCCCTGTCCTGCACCAGGGTGCCAGGAGATACTGGAGAGCACAACCAGCAGCATCTCGCTGCTCCGAGCTGTGCCTTCAATCTCCAGTTTGGGATACACAACCCAAACCTCACTGCTGAGAGACGCTGGCCCTCAGCTGAAAGCAGAGCAGAAAGAAAAGCCACCCGAACCAACCCTTTGGGAGCGTCCTTGGTAAAGAGCCAAGGCAACCTGAGCCAAGGCAACCTGCGATCCCAGCAGCGCGCCCCCGAGCCACAGCCCAAATCCACCCTCCGGGCTGCGTGCAGCAAAGACCACCCTTCACCCAGGGGAAGGGAGGAAGGCTCCACAGTAAATACAGCCTTCTCCTCAGCGCGGGGTGCCCCTGCACACCCCGTGTGCCCGTCCGTGGGTGCTGCGAGGCTCCGCAGCGCTGCACGCAGACACGGATGGGGACGGTGGCTGTCCCCGGGGCGCTGGCAGCAGGCACACGGTGGCAGCGGGCACATAAAGCCGTTCTGTCCAGCCCAGCCCCGGGCCGTGCCAAGGACCCAGCTCCCTCCGTGCCAGGCGGTGGCTTCGTGCCGCAGCCGCAGGGAGGACGTGTTCAGCTCCCAGCGCCTCCCTGCTCGGAGCAGCCTCCCAGTTCGGGATAAACTGGGAGACGGGACTGCAAAGGGCTGTAACATTTCTTCCTCCTTCCCCCAGAAACCACCCCAGCCAGAGGGCCAGGCTTCCAGAAACAAATTTCCCCCGTAATCCCCTCTGAGGAGCTGCCAAGCCTCCGCCCGCTGCCTCCCCCGGCCCCAGACAGCAGGACAAGGTGACACCGAGGTGACCCACGGGCAGAGAGGGACGACGCGAGGTCAGTGGAGCAGGGAAGCCCGATCCTCGCCCGCAGC